ATTATTTTAAATATATTATTTTTTATGTATATATATTTTGGGTATTTATTATTTTTGGAGGAGTAAGGGTAAGTCTTTATTATTTAGATTTGATAGTGAAATGTATAAAAAAAATGTTTCAACGATGTGTAGTTATTTTCAAAGTAAACAATGTTCATGTTATGAAGGAAAATGTATCGGGCAAAGAAAGTCACGCATAATTGAAGTGGAAATTAATTATTTAATATTCTTCTTATCATCATCTATGAATCGTTTCGGGCTTCATTTCGAGCTATCTTCGTTGAATAAATCAATATAATTTAACGTTGTTTTTCAAGCTCTAAATGGAAAAATAATGAATGTATCATGTACATTAATTGAAGGCCAAGTGTTTTAAATTCAAAAGGAATTAAGAATTTCAATAAAAAACATTAATATATGTTGATGAAAATAATAAAAATTAATAGAAAACGTTCATATTAATGTATGCATTTAGTAAATAAAACTAAATTGGAATGAAATTTGATACACATTTCCTTGAGTTTAACTCCATTATTTTGGATAGAAGCAATGGCGACCAATGGATATGATTAAAAATAACTGAAATTGGATAAATTTCATAAATATAAATATGAATTCCGCAGTATATATTTCTCATTTTTGGAATGCTTTACAGAGCAGCCTTTATCATGTCGTTCGAAGAAATTACAGATTTTTACAGGCAACTTTCGAGTTTTTCATTATTTCACCGCTCCTATTATTATTTCTCGTCTTTCCAATCTATTTATGCATCGCTGTAAATTAATTTCTTTTGTTTCTCTCTGCGCCGACAAAAAGGTGGCGGAGATAGCTTGGGACGGCGTTAACGAGCATTTAATTGCGGCGAAATTAATGTTAGGGAGGTATCGCACAATGCCGCTAATAAATGAATCATCGAATTATTATAACAGAAGTTATAAATTGAATTTTGAATCGCGAGAATTATGCTATACAACGTGCAAAGAAGGAGAAAAAGAGAAAAGAGCTTGTTCGCTCTTCGTTATTATGGCGGAAGAAAATAAATATCGTATTGCCTTTACGATCATTACTCGCGAATCATTCTCGGATTCGAGATATCGAAAACTGCGGTTGTCGACCCCGCCTCGTCGACACGCTTTTGTCGTTTTCTTTTTAACATGGGCGAGGTGAAATCTTCTAACGGGATTTGGAGTAAACCATAAAAAACGGCGCGAAAGCATTGCGGCAGTTTCTTTGTTCTGGGCACGCGTAGAAACCTTTGCTCTGTATGTTACGATCGGAGAAGGAAAGGTATATAAATACCAAAAATATTTTGGATAGTTTTTCACGGCAAACGTTTAATAAAACGAAAGATAGGTAGATTCGAGGGATAATTCGAATAGTTTTCGGCCTGACAAAGAAAACTCATGATTTTTGGCAGAATTTTTTTTAATTCATGCTTTATTTGATTGTTATTATT